TGCTTTTTTTGCATGAATTCAGCCTTGGTTTCAATAACAAAGTATGAGATAAAAAAAATCCACTTTTGATTAGACAGGACTGTGTTTGTTTTTGAAGTTCCGCAGTGGGGATACGAGTCTTGAGGATGAAAGGTTGTAAAGGACGTCCATCTGCAATCAACAATCAACATCTTAAAAGACTAAACGAAAACCCACGTAAAAGTTTCAGAGAAATGTTTCAGATAATGCGTGCCAACATTTCAACAATATCGAACCATCTCAAGAGAATTGGTAAGGTGAAGAAACTCGATAAATGGGTTCTACATAAACTCAGTGACAATCAAAGAGTTCAACGTTTTGAAGTCTGTTCGATGCTGAACCTATGAAATTCAAATTATGCATTTATTTATCGAATATTGATTTAATAATGAGAAATGATTTCGTCATGACAATAATAAGAGATCAGCTCAATGACTTAATCATGACGAAGTACTTAAACACATTCCAAAACCAAAATTGCACGAAAAGGAGATTATGGCGACATCCTGATGATCCACCATTGATAGTATCCATTACTGCTTTCCGGAATCTAACAAGTCCTTGGTATAACGATAACCTACATCCGTGTCCTGGGTAAGACGATAAACTACGTCCAACCGCAAAGCCTCTGATAAGGACCTTTTGAGCAGCGTGGAACCAACTCTTAATTGCTGGTGTTCCCAGAACCACCCTGCCTCGGGGTGGTAGCACCTGTTAGGGTCCCAGCTATGGGAAAATAGTTAACCTCCAAACTTGAGTCGAAACACTATGAAAGTGTAAAAATAGGTTTAAACGCAGGAATACATTTTTGTAAAAAACTATTACCAGCAGTGAATTTTTGAAGAAAAAATACCAGTAAAACATTTTGGATAAAACTATTAGTAGCAATAAAACTTTTGTCGGCATTGAGGTTGGTATGTTGTAAACCAAACCAAACCAAACTGAAATCTAACAAGAGCATCACTGCAGAAATTTATTCTGTGAATATATGTTGTATAATATATATTTTTTTAAAAATCCACATTGCAACCAAAAACGTTTGCGGTCTAAATGATGCCAAAAGGAAAAGAACACTGGCATCTCATTTTAACAGTTATACAGGGTGCGATGGGTAAATTGTCGCCTAAATGGCGCCAAAAGGAAAAGAATACTGACACATTAACAGATGTATAGAGTGCGATGGATAAATTGTCGTCTAAATGAGGCCAAAAGGAAAATAACACTGACATCTCATTTTAACAGATATATTTACCAAAATTACACAAAATATCTGGAAATACTAAAGAGTAAATTTATTCAATAAAATCGACATTACCTTCCACACGACTTCTCTCTTCTTTTTAATATACACACTTTTCTCTCGTTGGAACAACTATAACCTTTTCCCTTTATATATATATATATATATATATATATATATATATATATGAAGTCTTAACCCGGTCATTATATTGCATGTGTCTGCCGAGAGGCGTGTACTGGCTGATATTGACTGTGATCCGGAGAGTTTAAACTCCACGATAAAAACACATGTCGTTTGGAGTTTCCGTGGCAAGTCTTTTGCATCGTTACTTTTTTATCGACAGATGCAAAAAGTGTGGATGGTCCGACACAAGCCTTCACCACTTGAAAGAAATCATTGTGTTGGTTTCCTGGCACCTACATCTATTTAGTTCCGGCTACTGCTAAAAACTCTACGAAACATCAACATCATCTTGGCACTTGGAATGTACGAACTCTTCAGGAAAACAACTCAGCACCAGAAAGAAAAACAGCTCTGGTTGTATTGGAGCTAAAAAGTACAACATTGATATAGATGCACTAAGAATTAACCATCAATCGACTGCACTGGGATACAATACATTCTCCTCGACTGTTTGTGGTCTTTTGTGCAATTCTCGAGCCGGTCTCAAAAGTCATGCCTCATGCCCGTCATAGGCATGCAGATAATTAGTTCGTGGTCGTCGGAACTCGACGGGAGAATCCATGTGAGCTATCTGGTGTTCAGGATTATGATTCATACGAAAGCGTGAACTAAAGACCGACTGCTTTATATATTTAATTTTTTTTTGTCCAGATCATTCTCCGTTTCATTTTAGAGACAAAGGTAGAGATTAACAAATGCTTTGGTAGTTTTGCCTATCCGATCTCGTCACCGTGAGAAGCATTGGAGTTCGCTTACAAATACGAAATTCTTTTTACATGTATTTCTAGGTATATAATAATGGTTGTCCACATGCCGCAAGAAGACAGCAACCAAAAAGGCCGAGAGTTATAAAGTGGCGCCCCCAGCCAATCTTATCGAAACCCCAGGGTAGTCGCGCGATGGCTGATGGTCTTTTCTAACTTGAACAGCACTATGTACACTCAGCATCAGACCCCAGGATTTATTGACAAGGAGCAGTCAAGCTGATTGGTGTCTGCCTACGCCTCAAATGATTCGAATTGCCCGATGGTTTGTCATTGGTTGTATCTTTAATGCCCAAATCATATCACAAATATATGATCTCTTATACATATATATATTTTCTTCTCAATTGACCTTAACCGGCATATATTAAACAAACACTACAAGTAGAAGACTGCATGAATAGTAGTGCTCAGGCAATGTTCTCCGGAAAATAATATAATACACTGCCACTTTTCATACTGAGTGTTTTTTCTCCGGTGCGCCCTTAGGAGTTGGTTACTTTGTGTATATATATATATATATATATATATATATATATATATATATATAATGGACTCTCCCGTCGGTTTCGACGTATGAGGATCTGACAACTTAATCAATTGATTCAGTTATGTTATTTTTTGCGATAATCTTAAGTTGCACTTAAAACCCACTAGTGACTTACAAAGGAGGCTACATATGGAGGGAGAGTGACGATTGTAGGATGAAATCACTCTTAGATTGGCTGACTTTTTAGATCTTGCTCTCGCTTCTTGAACGCGATTCAGACAAGCAGAATGAAAATTGCTGAGTACAATAAAACACGTTGTTCTCCATTCTACTCACTCTAAGTTTAATCGCTCAAGTGTGTTATGAGATATATTGTCAGTTGACAACATATATGTTATGGTCCGGTTTCTTGTACCACGGTGATAGTCCAAGGTAGAACCAATAAAGAAGAACTCGAATACGTATATGGAATAACACAGATATATTACAAACAGGAATATATACAGCGAGGTAGAAAGTGTTAGTACGAACAATCAGGTTTAGTAGTAATTGTCTGAACGCGACTCTGTTTCGGACTGCCTCTGACTCGACTGACTGATTCGCTTGCTCTGACTGACTGACAGACTCCGGACGGACTTCACTCAAAACTTCAGACTGAACTCCCGGCAGTATTTATTACGTATGGAATAGTCCATTATGTTATTATGGGTAAGGTCCTATAACAATTTTTTTTTTTTTTTTTAACATACAACGTGTGTTAGCACGTGCGATACCCTGTCTTCATCAGCCGCCGACCAGGGGTGATATCACGGTTTCGGTGGCTGTGGCGGGACCGCCACCCCTAGCGCCACCAGCAGCGTTTGCCACCAGGCAGGGTACGAAGATAAGCTAACTAATTGTTCCTTTAAGTAAAATCTCTCTGCAATGAAAGTTTCTTAAACGCGTTTGCTGTTATTGACGCGCTCGTAAAAGTCGTTATAGACGACCATTGCAAATATCTCACTTGCGCATATTAGGTCGTGATGTAGCGCGCATTCTATTTGCTTGTTTTGATCTCGACCAAATCCAACTTGACGCGTGTTGAACAGTTTTTTGAAGGCGATGCGAAACGCTTTTCAACCAACGGCCAGTGATGCCTATTTTTGAAAGGAAGGAAATGACCGAATGTCCCAGGAACCCACGACACCCAACCTCGATAGGCATCACGTGACACGTCCAACCATTTTCCATACAGTCGGCACGCAGTGACTCGTACCGGTTTTTCTTTAGTTCGTGCGCCTCCACCCTGTTCTCTTCCCAATGGACTGTTAGTTCTATTAGGAAGACAGTCTTTTTAGAGTCGGACCACAACACAATGTCGGGACGCTTGTCTGTCTGTGCGATGTGTATTGGAAATTTTAAGGATATCATTAGATCCACTAAAACCTTCCAATCACTGGCACCCCTCAGCAGCTTTATATTGGAGTTGTTTGTTTTTTTCTTTGCAGGGCATTCCCTTCCTTATGGAATTCAATCTTAGTTTCCTTGGATGCCACAAACTGTTGATTTGCTGTCTCACATTGTGTTCTTATTAGATCCATTATCACCTCTAATACCTTGTTGTGTCGCCACGTGTACATATGGAGCGAATGTGGACAAGCAGAAAGCACATGACAAAGTTCATGGACGTATTCCATTTCACTATATATATATATATATATATATATATATATATATATATAGGGTATAATATATATTCACGGACGTATTCCATTTAACTGTGCGTACAAACACACACACACACACACACACACACACACACACACATATATATATATATATATATATATATATATATATATATTCCGTAAGAATCACTGAAAAAACCCTTTGAGTTATTTAGCTAGAAGAAGAAAATGTAAAAATCGTTTTGTGTCAGTTCTACTAGTTCTTACCAACAGAGCAATGGTAAGAGGAAAAAGATCATTTAGACTTTCAGTATTGGTACCAATATTCATACTCTGGTTTCCATGTTCAAGGGTGAATAAGTTTAAAAATGAGGTAACAGTAAAGAGGAAAACTGGAACAGAAGGTCACAACAGGAAGAGGGATTATCATTTAAATTTAGAGCTAAAGAGATCAATTAGAAGAGATCCAAACGTTTGGTTTATGAGAGGGTAGTTTAAGCTATGATATTCCAAAGAGCAGTGAAAAAAGACTTAAAAATTAAATCGTACGTGAAACCTGTGAAACATCTTGTTACTCCAGGACAGAAAGTTAGAATGTTAAAGAGGGCGAAGATGATTTTAAATAAGTTGACAAATTATCCTCGAACAATAGATAAATAGATAGATAGATATGAACAGCGCGAAATAGATAGATAGATAGATAGATAGATAGATAGATAGATAGATATGAACAGCGCGAGATAGAGAGTAAGAGAACGATGAACGGAGAAATTAGTCAATAAGTAGAAATGAAAAAACGGAATAGATAGATAGAAAGACAAAACGACTGATAGATATTAAAGTGAGAAAATCGAGCAAATATAGACACATTCAAATATTGACTCAAAACTCAGTAATTCAAATCCTATCTCAATTACAATGCAAACCAGTTCTATTTTTGTCATTCAAATTGTATCTCGGGAAACATTAATTTACATTCGACTAAGCTGATTTTCAATAGTTTGACTGTTGCGATCTTTTCCCAAGAAACAAATGACAAATCCTTTCACATTTTAACTTGTTTTTTTTTTTGTTGTTTTTTTTTTATTTTGATTTTTACTGTCGTCTGCAAAATGAAAGACTCATATAATAAATTCGGGAAGTCTTTTTATTCGTTTTATTTATTTGTTTATTTTTCTTCTCTTGATGTGAGGACGTTCCGCTGAACGTTATTTCTATTGCTTAATGATTTGGACCGAAGTTGAACTGAACGATGTGTTGACTGACGCTTTTCAATTGTGGCCAGACAATATAAGTATTAAATTTAGATCACGTATTGGAGATTATTTCAATGACAAAACGCTAAAAAAATTATCGACTGCAAACTGGCCAAGTTCCGTGTCCGTACTTATGGGATTCATGTGATTTTTCTGAATGAAAATCGACAAAAACTTACGAATCTTATGTTCTATGTTCCCTATTCAGCCTATCGCTTTTATTTTGGTTATTATATTTGAAATTGACTGTTTTTCGACGAAGGTTTTATCACGAGTTTTTAACGGGTCTAGATTAACTGGCGGCGAGTCTCCGAAATACACAGGGCTTTTTTTTCCACGCTGTTTTTGTTTTATTTTATTATAATTCTGCGTGTCTATTCATTTACTCACTCTCCAAGGGCACATAAATAATTATCCCATTTTGATTGTGAGGAAAAAGGGAAACGACGCCATTTCAGAGAAAGAAAGAAACAAAAGAAAGAAGGAAATAAACAAACAGTAGATTTAGGCGCTAATAACACTCTTATATGTTTAACGTCTGCTTCAATGAAATGAAAAAAAAACCTTGCCAATTTCAAATCCTTTCATTTGTACTTCTTTAAATAATGACCTGCTTCGATACTCTTGATTTTTATTACAGGACTTTGATTCATCAGGAAATTTACATAGAAAAACCTGGACCGGGTACTACTACATTGACAATAATTCCAGATATACCCAAATCGTCCAAAGAGGAAGAAAGAACACTTTGGCATAGTCACGAGTGCGCCAACAGCAATAACAACCTGCCACTTAGTATATTTTCTCTGATTCAACCTTCCAGATTTTGGAATCTATGTTTTGGCACCTCCCCCGCGTTGAAAATGTTCTGATCCCAAGGTGCTGCAGTTATATCAAAATCCATTCGGCCTGTCCTTGTGCAGGGGTATTATATCAGTGTGATTGATCACGGAGCGCTTTTCAATGAAGATCGTCTTGTGATTACGTTATTATTATTATTATTATTATTATTATTATTATTATTTCCTTTGATTTCTGTTAGATACTCATTTCCATTCGAGTCCCAACCAGAGATCTAAGGTCAGAAATGGCATCATGACATTTTCCACTGATCATTTTTAAAACTTAAGATCAGACATATTTTGCAGTCATAAGATTTCGCTGTACTTGTGAATGCATTTGTATGTAACTCTTAAAGGTTTGGTCTACCAGGAATCCCTTCAATGAGTTTATCGGAACCTTTTCCAGTCAATCCAAGGGATCTAACTATAACTGAAATTATTGATGTTTTCATGTACCATATTTTTGAGATTTCCATTTCAAGGTCTTGTATTTTGTAGATTTTAAAGATCTTCAAAGACACATTATAGTCTGCAGGGCCTGCCATGTTAATAAAAAACACTTTCTGTTTCTGTGGTCTTTGATCACGATATCTAGACGATTAGATTTGATTGTTCTGTCTGCGTCTATTGTAAAGTACTATACAATTGTTAAAGGTCCTATATCTGTAACCGAGTCATGGTTGTGGTCATACCAATTTCTTACAATTTCTGTAAAAGTGTCAAATTTTCCAATGCAGATATTGGCCCACTCTGTCATTCCGGGTTTTATATTCAGTGAGGGCTAATGCCGTGAAACCCGATATAAGATGGTCAATTATATTGGGATATTTATCAAAGAATCTGTATTTGGGGCTAACACAATTATTCAGTATGTGTACTTGGTAATTTCTTGTGAGCAAGCATTGGTCCTGTGCAGTAAGAATAACGCCTTTGTTTTCAGCATTTAACCCTACTCTATGTAGCCACTGATGTGTACAGTGTTTGTCTACATCAGCTTGTTTAGAACGGGCAGATTATTGACCAAGAAGAGGCTTATCTTGCCATCGTTTCTGTATCTGTTCCAATGTATTTACCTTTACATTCGTTTTACGCTCTTTGCCGCTGCACTTGGTGTATTATGCTTTACATGCATTTCTTCACCTACTTGAAATTCCCTTTTGATTTTATTGGCCTCCTTTTTTTTACTGATTATAGTTTCCTTTATGTTCTTTGACACAGAACATCATCCAGTCTTCTGTAGTTGCTAGATATTTTAGAGACCGGTTGTCATAGTTTTGTAAGGCATTTCTCGTTCGTCCTCCTCCGAATCTGGGCACAGACAGACGATCAACATCAGCCTTTGAATGATGCATGAGATGGAAAATGTGAAGTTTTCTCGTTTTCACATCCATTCACTTAATGTTAGTAATGGTCTAATTAAGGATGTTGAAATTATTGCACCAGAGATCCCGCCAAGGTGTTAATGTCTCATATTCTGTTTTATGAATTCAGTTCCGTATTAAACACCAGACTCACACATCTGTAGTATACTTTTTTACATTCCCCTTCATTTTTGTATGCTGTATTCCATCTCCCCTGATTCCTATGTATCTGTAGGCTTCTTGTTCCGGTTCCCTAATCTCTGTGACAAAATCTAAAATCTACTGGTGTGTGTTTCTGTAATTCTCTCTTTCTTGAAGGTTACTTTTGCTCATTTATCTAATCAAAAATCCAAACATTTGTCGTCAATGAAAAATCTTACAGTATTGAGGAAGCCCTTCAACTCAATGTCTTATTCTGCAAAGAGGTTCAGATCAGTTATGTAGAGTATGGATTAAATACTTTCTTGTTTATTTTCTATCCGTAGTTATTACTATTTAGTTCATGACAAAGGTAGTTTAGCGACAGACAAAACAGAAGGGGCGACATGGAATCTCCTTGAATGATTCCTCGTTTGATATTCAGGCGACTGCAAGTGACAGTAACTTTGGTGGGATTTAGGTATAGTATAGTTTTCTACAGTCCCATACTATACTTAAGAAAATTTACTATCACCGAGAAGACTTTGTACATTTCCATAGCCTTGAGGATCCAAGAGTGTGGCACACAACCCAAGGCTTTAGTGTAAGCTATGCAAGCGGTACTCAGATTCCTATTTTTCCTACAATTTTCCCTGAACATCATTTTATTTATTAGTAGTTGATCTTTGCAACCATATGAACCTCTTCGACATCCTTTGTTCCACGAGAAGAATATGTTTTTCAGTGAGAAAAGAGGAAATACAGATCGTCAGGACAGACGTGATCAATTTGTAAGTGGTGGATTTACATGTTACTGGCCTATAATTTTTTGGGTCATCGCTTTTTCTAGGAAATATGGAATACCTTCAGTGATCCATTCTGGGACTTCATTGTGGTTTTAAATTAGCATTCATAAAGTTTGTACAAGTGTTTGTCTATTGATGAGATGCTGATAGAGCCAAAAATTGTGGTACCTTGTCATTTCATGGAGATTCGCATTTTGGGGATTTTTTAGAGCTTGCCTAACATAATTTCAGATTATAATTTTCCAATCTTGTAGAGGTTCATCTTTCTTGTTCTCGTTTGATCCATTCTGCATTGCGTTGAGGCAGTCAACACGCAGTCTCTGACCGTGTGCAACTTCTGTCGAACTCTCTGCTTTGACAGAGAGGAACCCGGACGAAGTTTTGCTGAAGGGCAAAGTTTCGTCCGGGGAGGTAGACAGATCCCAAACCCACTTATGCGGGTTCTAAGGGATTATTTTTTGGCCAAGCCTACGGGCTCGGAGAAACCCACGTTAAACTCGGCCCTGTGCCACATACATTACTCGTGGGGAGACTGTTAAATATCGGCCTGACAATTGCGTCCAGGATGAAACAGCCTATCACCTCTGAATGTTGACTTCAATGTTCACTTTTATATATATATGTGTGTGTGTGTGTGTGTGTGTGTGTGTGTGTGTGTGTGTGTGTGTGTGTGTGTGTGTGTGATATGTAGAAAAATAGGAAAGAACACGTTAGGTAAATAATCCGGAGTTCTTTAGTATTTTTGTTTTTATTTTTAAAAACAGTGCTCCATACAGAAGTAGAGTAATTATAATTATTTTTTAAATATGATTCCTTCGCTACATAAGAGTTCTCATGTTTCAAAACGAGAGCCTAAAACCTCAATATAATTATTAAAATTAAATTGAGTTAAAATATCAAGCCCTGTTTCATCCTCAAGCGAAAATTTCCGTAGCTTTCTAAATTTTCGCTTGAGGATGAAACTGGGCTTGATAACTTAAATCAATTTAATTTTAGTAATATATATATATATATATATATATATATATATATATATATATATATATATAGGCAGTATTATTTTTTCCATTAAAAAGAACCGATAATGTTTGTCTGTTTAATATTCTATTGTATTTCCTCCATTTTTTGAATAAGATGTTGAGTATTGTGTTTGTAGTTTTGGATAAACCGATCGAAATTCATATTTTGTTATTGTTTTGTTCAAGTAGCTTCAACAATCGCAGACATTCTCAAGAATCAATATGGTTTCTATGTGGTAGTAAGAATTCCTTAGACTACAACATGGCATTCTTTAGAAAGCTGGAAGTTTGAAATTGTCTAACGTGGCGTCATGTGTAACCGTTAGTGGGGATAACTAAAAAACAAATAAGAAAAAGGATATTGAAGAAAAAGCGAGGAAAGAAAGAAAGAAAGAAAGAAAGAAAGAAAGAAAGAAAGAAAGAAAACGAACATTGCTGAAAAGAAGGAACAATATTAAAAACAGGGAACTTCAAGAAAAAGAAATAAATATTTCAAGAAAGAAAGAAAATGGAAATTCAGAAAAAAGAAGAAACTTAGTATTAGATTAGAAAGAGAAGAAAATTTCCTAAAAAAGAATCCGAATATTGAAGAAGGAAAAGAAACAGACAAATATGAAAAGAATGCAAATAAAATTAAAGAAAATATAACAGCAAATTCATAAAAAGACGCAAATAAAGTGAATGAAAAAGTGACACAAATTACACAAAAAGAAGCAAATAAAATGAAAGAAAACGTGACAGAAAATCCATTAAAATATATTAATACTAAAGTCCGATCGGTTCTATCAGATCAAATTGGCTTCTGATCTCAAAAAATCACCTACAATAGTCTGTTCAATTGTATGAAGAATGGCTTACTCCTTTCTGCCTTCCATCTACATGACTGATGCTAAGCCTGAAAAGAGTGATCCATCGCGCTAACATTCTCGGCTGATATGAAGAGGAAATATCATATTGAATCAATTTGCGAGGTACGCTGCTAAGAAAGTTGGTTCTCTGTGTCGTCTCCAGGCAGAATCAATCACTAAGTCTACCATTCATCTATGCTTAGAATATTGCTGCCACATATGGCCCGGTGCTCCTGCTATATATTTAGAGATTCTTGATAAAATCCAAAGTAGAATCTACAGTCTTGTAGCTCCAGATCCTGGAATCTCGGCCTCATTCTCTTTCCCCACCACCATAACGTAGCTTCCCTCTGCCTTTTCTATAAATACTTTCATGGCAATTTTTCAGATGGTACTTCCGCTATAGAACCAAGACTTCATAAATTTAAACGCAATACTAGATTGGTAACAATTGAAATGGCTAGATGTTACCGTAAGTTCTATGCTAACAGTTTCTTCTCTCATATCACTCACTTGGAATTCTCTCTCGGCGCCATGCTTTCCAGACAATTTTTATCTTTAAAAATTGAAACTAATGTCAATCGTTATGAAGAGTCTTCTTGATTTCTCTTCTATTGTTCTCGCTTCTTAATAGATGTTTCTTTTTTATTATTATTAATCTTTTACACTCAGTAACCCTTTATACCTTCGCTGTTTTGCTTTCGGTGAAATGATTTTTAAAATAAACGAAAAAAAAATCAGAAAATTCAAGAAAAAACAACGAGAAGGCCGGGGAAATATAGCAAGAGGTAAATTACGAAGAAGTAGAACCATATTTGTCGCTGTTGTTTTCATTGTCGACGAAGTTTGCCAAGAATTTCTTGGCACGATTCGTCCATCTTGTTCTGGTCCCGCATTTCATGTGATTCTGTTTAGTGCAATTTACGGGGGTGCATTACGTTTGCTGTGGAGAGAAATCTGTTTATGTCAAAATAATCTGCGGGCTATCAAGGAATTACGACAGGAAAATAATATTTGCCGGACAAAGAGCATGGCGGGAATTTGAAGCGATTCTCGGTTAAGATGAAAATTGGGCCGCCTGCTGAATTGTTACCCTAAATAGACAAGAAAGAAAGAATGAGATAGATAGATAGATAGATAGATAGATAGATAGATAGATAGATAGATAGATAATGAACTGAGGACCTAGATAAATAGATCTACATATATATAAATAACAATAAAATAAATAGATAGATAGATAGATAGATAGATAGATAGATAGATAGATAATGAACTGAGGACCTAGATAAATAGATCTACATTTATATAAATAACAATAAGATAGATAGATAGATAGATAGATAGATAATGAACTGAGGACCTAGATAAATAGATCTACATATATATAAATAACAATAAGATAGATAGATAGATAGATAATGAACTGAATATGCGACATGTATATAGATAAAGTGAAACAGAGATAAACTGAGATAGATAATGAAAATGAAAAAATTTAGATAGATAATATAGCTATATATATATATATATATATATATATATATATATATATATATATATATGCGTGTGTGTGTGCGTTCTTTTTCGTCTCTTTTTTCTTTCATATGACTATTATGTGTGCTTCCTTTTCTCATTTTTTCTTTCTTTTTTCATTCATATGATTAATATACATACTTTCTTTTTCTTCTATTTCTTTCTTTTTTCTTTCCTTCTTTCTTTCTTTCTTTTTTTCTTTCTTCTTTTATATGATTATTATGCATGGTTTCTTTTTCTTCTGTTTCTTTTTTCCTTCTTTCTTATGATTATTGTATGCTCTCTTTCTTTCTTTCTGTCTTTCTTTCTTCCTTTCTTTCGTCCTTGTTCCATATGATTATTATGTATGTATATCTCACTAAAACTAAACAGCATCTCTAATATATCTTTTTTCTTCCCTCATCCCTCAAAAGCAAAATGAAATATTTCCTTCAAGCCAAACCTCGATTAAACACCTGTTCCTGTACGATCACTAAAGTTAAGCAACTTCGAGCCAAGTCTCCAAATACATTGGTGACCGCTTGTATATCTCACATATTCTAATATTTGATATGTTTGTATTGTAATGGGTAACGACTCGGAATGCAATTCCCGTTAGGTTTGTTATATTCAGTCACGGGGAAATACGCTTCGGGAAGGGATAAAATTCACATTTTCTACCCTCAACTATGGGTTAATTCATAATACATGTATTCCCAAAACATTATTATCTACAAAAATTCTTACAGTTTAAAATTGTTTTCTAGTATTAGATAACCCGCAAAGTAGATAATGAACTAATCAATCGATCAAGGCTTATTATTTATCTGAGGTCCTTGCATGGAATATTGCTGTCATATATGATCTGGTGCTCCCATTCTACGTCTGGAGGTCCTCGACAAAATCCAGAGATGAATATTCAAGATGATAGGTCCTGATCTGGCATCTAGACTACAGTCGCTATCCTACAAACATGTCATGGCCTCCCTCTGTCTCTACTATAATTATTCTAGCGTCAAATGTTCCGGCGAACTACTTTCGCTGGTTTTCGGACTACATGAATTTAAGCGAGCTGCTAGGCTGCCATCTTGGTCCCACTCTTTCCCTTACTTGCTTCCCTGATGACTACAATCTTCAAATATTCAAGTGTAATGTCAATCGACATCTGACACCCTGAGCTTGTTGCCCGTCCTTCTCTGTATCCTTTCCCCAAATATGCCGCTTTACTCTTGTTCCCAATCCTCTGTAACCCTTTTGCGTTCTAGTGGCACTCCTGCCTTCCTTGAAATGAATTGCATTAGGAAAAAAATGGGGGAGAAACAACCAAAATGCTGATGTAATTTTATTTCCTGATTTTGTAAATTGTTAAATATTTAAGAATTACTTTTAAAAAAAAAAGGTTCATTTGTTAAAGATCCCCTGAATATTGAAATCCGTTACTCGTCATAAAAGTAAAAAATTGTCGCTATGAAAAGATTGGATCACTTCGTAGTAGAAAATTAAGATACTTCCCTTTTGTTTCTCCCTACATCCACGTTGTATGATATCGTGCTTGCCAACCCAAAGACTGAGCTCCGGCCAAAGGTTCTTGTAGTCAACATTGATTTTCTAAAATGCATGTTTTTCGTGAAGCATCTCAAAAATTCACTTCCCTGGGAAACATAATTACTTTTCTATGATATCTATCTCAGTCTGTTCCTATCTATCTGTCCATCCAACTAATACTCTTAGACTTTTCAAAGATATCTCAGTATGTTCTCAACTGTCTGTCAGTCTATCTAAATATTAATCTTAGACTTTTCCATAATATCTACCTCAGTCTGTTGTTGTCTATCTGTCTATCTAACTATTAATCTTAAACTTTTCAAATATATCTATCTCAGTTTCTTCCTATCTATCTATCTTATTAGACTTTTCAAAGATATCTATCTCAGTCTGTTCCTATCTATCTGTCTATCCAACTAATAATCTTAGACTTTTCAAAGATATCTCAGTATGTCCCCATCTGTCTATCTGTCTATCTAAGTATTAATCTTAGACTTTTCAAATATATATATCTCAGTTTGTTCCTATCTGTCTATCTGACTATTAATCTTAGACTTTTCAATTACATCTATCTATCTATCTATCTAAGTGTTCGTGTCGATTCTGATCTATCTCAGTTTTTGCAGATGTATCTATCTATCTATCTATCTCATTTTTCAGATCTATGTATCTACCTATCTGCCTTAGACTTTTCAATATATCCCAGTCTGTTCTTATCATTCTACCTATATGTCAATGTTCATATCTATCTCTATATTCAATCTTTTCGTATTTATCGACTGATTGATGTCTCTGTTGATCTCTCTCTCTCTCTTTCTCTTTCTGTCCCCCTCTCTCTCTCTTTTATTCTAGTCGTATCCATGAATGGGTATTAGATAGATCGTAGAACAGTATTCGAAGAAAATAAACACAATGGGGCAAAGTGACAAAGCTTTTTACATGCAACGCCTTTCTTATGTGCCTGTATCCATTTCTTTTTCTGCATTCTTATCAATTTGCCACAACGTGTTTTTTATCTATCTATCTATCTATCTGATTCATATCTTAATAATTCTATCTATCTATCTATTCATATCTTAATAATTTTATCTATCTATCTATCAACACACATCCTCAAATTCCTTCTCCTTACAAATAAAAGAATGTTGAATACTGGTTTCAACCTTTATTTACTTTTCTTGGTCTTTTTCTTTTTCTTCCTCTTCCTATTCCCCTTCCTCTTTCGCTTTTTATTAATCACTTGGCTTTCTTTTTTTCTTCATATATAAATTCTTTTTACCTTTCATGGAATATTTTCCAAAGACGGAAGTTGGAGTCGTGCTTGGTTAACTGTATTTCGGAATAAAATATTCTAGTACCCTCATGATTTCCCACCTGAAGAAACGTTAATTTTTAACGTTGTAACAAGATGTACAGATTTGTAGTGGGCATGTTCATGTTCTAATGTAACAGTGCTAAATAAATAAATATTTATTGTTCGACTTTGTATTGAGACCTGCCTTAAATTAATGTTTTGAAAGCTGAAATTTTACTCTCCCTTCTTTACATTTGTGTGTATATATATATATATATATATATATATATATATATATATTCTTAAATGTCTATAATTGGTAACAAAAGCCATTGGTTTATATCAATGGCTTCCCATACTTCATACTTCTCCAATTCACTCTCGTGTGGTCATGTGTGACGTCATGAGATGCGGTGCGATTTTTGCTTCTAGCGTCTTATATGCACGTGTTTATCGTTGCTTAGAAATCATCTATGTAAACATTGACAGACTATCGTCACTGTCGTGTCCGTATATTGCTTAATATGTTGTAATTGACATCTTTAAAAAATATGGATCACTATTGTGAATTTCTTTCTTCGTTCAACGATACTGTTATTAAACATTTCAGACGTTACGAAAAATTTACATAAAATAAATAAACAACACTTGTCTATATTATTTAATGAAACCTGCATGAATATATATATATATATATATATATATATATATATATATATATATATATATATATATATATCGAGAGACAGAGAGAGAGAGGCAACTGACAAGGTACTGCGATTAAGATGCTTATTTAATTTTTTTTTTTCCTTTCGACATAGCCTCGTCTGGGGATCCTCTCTGCCCGGAGGCAGAGTTTGACCAGCAGAGCTATAGACGATGTCCAACTGCAGGATATTTACCAACCTCCCCAGGTGGTCAGATGTGGCACAAGGCCGATTTTAATGTAGGGTATCCGAACCCGTAGGCTCGGCCAAAAATCCCTCGTAGAATCCGTATAAAACGAGGTCGAGTCACTGTTTCCCGAGACGAGATTCTGCCTTTCGGCATAACCTCGTCCGGAGATCCTCTCTGCCCGGAGGCAGAGAGTTTGACCAGCACAGCTGGAGACAAATCTCCAACTGCAGACCAACATACAGGATTTACTACTGTATTTATGTGAATGGGGAAATACCCATTATCGTCCGTAGGTTTCCTATATCAATAAGAAATATCCGCATCAAAATTTAATTTTTTTGAAATTTCATAAAATTAATTTAGTGTGGGTAACAGATGTAAAAAATATTCCTACCTAAATTTTCTAAAAATATATTTCAAAATTAATTTCATTCATTTTTGAATAAGTCCTGAAAATCCTACAATTATTTGATATTTGAAAGAATTTCCAAATCAATATTGTTTTTTGTTTTACCGCAAGAAGACGCTTAAATCGTAAACTTTATCCCATGACTCAAAACCCCCAAAATTTTAACATTCTCGAAAGGAATAATTATTTAATAAAAAAATTAAAAACATTTTGGTCTTTTCCTCTCATATCATAAAAACTTTAAGGTTAAAACTTTATTTCCATCAAGACTGGAACCATATTGTCGTGGTATGCTCTTATTAGTAAAAAAGTAAATGTACCAACTACAAATATTATTTAGGTTGGTAAACGTATTTGAATTGCTATTCCTGAACCATTTTTAGTTTTAGCTTTATTAAACAGTGAAATGGATAACACCCGGTCTGAACACGGGTACTAAAAATAACCTTTATAACAACAAGAAATAAATTACTGTTTATGTTTCGAGTACAAAACTGAAATTAGATTAGATATAGATTCCAAAAAGTCTCAACAAGAAATGTGCCTTTTCTTAACAAAATAATACCAAACTTACTCGGTTATGTTTGTCTACGTAGCCAATATGGTAGCCCAACCTGGGTACGATGATGAACGACATCTGGCAGCAAGGCCTCTGATCAGGAGACTGGAGGTTTTGAGGAGCGTGGAACCATCTCTTAATTGCTGGTTCTAAAGTTCACCATGACCCGAAGTAGTAGCATTAGTAAGTTAGGGTCTCACTTATAAATAAATAGTGAATCCT